AGATGAAGAAAGCATCTGCCTGGAGGAAAGTACATGAGGAGGTGTGATTTCCACAACAGCTACAAACAAGAGGTACTAATAGCTCAGTGGGTCTGAAATAGACACAGAGACCAAAATTCCCAAGTGCAAAGAGGTGGGGGAACTTCTTGCCGCCATCGGAAAGCCATTCCTCAAAAGAATGGACATCCCATAAATACCCCCAACGTCTCTGTGATTTATTCACAGGCCTGCTGAAGCATATTACAGTATTTAGCTTTAAAAACGTTAATCCGGGTTTCAGTTTGTCACCAGAGTGGCGTGTCCATTAACCTTACTTAATCATTTGCCAGGCGGATGGGCACAATGATGACTAACTCTTGGCTTGTGTGAAGACCAGTGGTTCGGTGTTCCAGTCTGCAAGGTAAATAGTCAGGCCGATGCTCTGAGTATTACCCAGCTGAGTGCATAGTGTGGGAATCATTTTGTGATTCAGAAAAAACACACACAGCTATAAAATCATGTATCTGTGCGGGTCTGACTCACACTTCAGACGCATTTATTTAGGGATTATCAGTTTCACAGAATACAAAGGGTCCCTCTTGCTATTTTTGTTGTCCAGACTTGCCTAAAGCATGTCATCGTGCAGTTTAATATCACGGTGGATTCTGATGCTGGTTTGTACGCACCAAGAGTACTGCCGTATAAGGGAGGCAGTAGCGGAGGTGGGCCTGGAGTCCCAGCCCTGCCAAGAAACAGCCCCATGACTGTGGGCAAGGAATTGATCCTCCTTGGGCCTCAGTTTCCTTATAAAAACAGGAGCTGGTCTCACTACAGATCTCTGAAGTTCTTTCCAATTGTAAAATTCGTTGTTTCATTCCACCATCAAAGGCAAGGGAATGACAGTGAAGGGAACCGTGGGCTCCTATTGATGGCACTGGTCTTGATCTATCTTTTTCCTTTTCATGAACCAAAGTCCTGCTCAGGGCGTAGAGCAAGGCAGCCATCGGAGATGCTGGGAGGGATGAAGGGACCAAGCTCTCCAGGGTCAGAGGGACTGCTGGTTTTTATCAGCACACTTGGACTTAACTGTGTGCTTGACATCCTTCTAAGTGCATTAGAAACACTAACTCATTTCATCTTCAGGCAGCCCTGGAAGAAATCTCAGCACCACTATTAATCAAACTTGACAGAGAAGGAAACTGAGGCCCAGAGAGGTTAAGCAACTTTCCCAGGGCCACACTGGATGCCTAGTGAAAGATTGAGCTGGGATATGACCCAGGGAGTCTGACCCTAAAAATTACCCCTCAGAGGTCAAGATCATAAGCTCTACCATGTTTTTAATGCCTTTGTACCCATAGGGAACCCAGTGGACAAATGAGGCTGCCAACAGCGGAAGAAGTTATAATGGGCCATCAAGAAAAATTACCGATCTCCAGGGTAGTCCCAGGCTCGCTATTCCAAAAAGTCTTCACGAAGAAGATAGATACTGCTTGCTCTTACAGTTTGGGACCACCCCATCAGGAGGCTGGGAGGCTGCCAGATGACCCCAGGTTGCCCGGGATTCCTGGTACCTGTGCCAGCCTGCAAAAGGGCAAGAGTGGAGAGTGGCTTGGATGATATGAATGTGGTGTGCCCACCCGGAGGTGGCGGTACATGGGTGTTACAGAGCTCAACTTCATCCCTTCCCTGACCCTGGCATGCGTCAGTGGGCTAGCTGCTGCTGCTGCAAGACGCCACCCACCCGGTGACTGCAGTGTAAGTGGTCAGTAGAGGAATTCACTGCTTTCTAAGTGCATTTCCCCTCCCCCACCCACCCCCACCTCCAGGATTTCCAGTCTTCTGTTTGTGTGTGATTTTTCACATTATTGTGGACTCAGTTTTACTTCTTCAGGGGTGGGGACTCAGCCTCACTGGCCTTTGTCTGCTCAGCAGCTGACAGTATGTTTGCTTAATGAATGAATGATACACCACAGACCAAATGACGTCTGCTTAGCTGACAAGTGGAAACCACCACGTACTGAACATCGACTATCAATTTGGAGTTCAAGGTAAATACAGACGTGTTTCTAAGGAAGTATTTTTGGTTTGGGGGGTTTGCTGTTTTTGTTTTTTTGTTTTTTTATTCTTACAAAATGACTTGGTAAGCTAATCATTTTTAATAATTACATCTGGATTCTAAAGCACTCTTATCTTCATTTTAGTCTCTAGACATCTAGTATTGAACCACATATGTTCTTCTGTAATACACTTTTTCTCTTCCGTGAGCTTCCCTCTTTCTTAAGGGAAAAGAGTGAAGACGGCTTTTAAGCTCAGTTTGACATAGTACATCTGATCATTTCACCCCGCATGCCTTCTGACTTTTCATTTCCTTCTAACACGTTCGACTTTTGATCTGCAAGCACAAGGGCCGTACTTTTATTAGGGTTTAATTTACTGTAAAGCTCGGTGTTCCCTGTGAATCAAGCCATAATAGGTGAATAATCACAGGCTTCAGCCGGCCAGGTTTTAGTTCTACTGAGTAACTAGGAAACCGACTAATAACAGGAAGGTTAAAAAATGTTGGGAACCCTGATATCGCCCCAGAGCTAGGATAACCCTTTTTATTACGTGTGCATGACTGTCCAAGCGTAGAGGGGGATCAGCCACAGCATGGAACCAAGGGCACAGAGGGAAATCAAGGAGCGACAGGGGCATGGGTTGGAGTCAAGATTTGGTGTTGGCGTGTGACCCCACTTCCTCTCCCCAGCCTCCCACATCTCCTTCAGCTCCACCATTCGTGCCTGTGACCAGATTATTTTCAGTTGGGCTTCACACATTACGTCGGAGAAAGTAGAGCTGATTTCTTTTTTCATGTATATGGTATTTTTTTCCCAAGGGTTTTTCATAAAATGAAAAGGGAAGAACTTAGGAAAAGAAAATTAATAGCTGTATCATTTTGAGATTCTCTCTACCACAAACTCACGGCTCTATTAAATTCTTTACACATTCGGTTCTACGGAGAATGTTCATTACAGCCTGATGACATAGGTTCCTTAATCCTCTTTTCTTCTGTAGAGGAGAGAACTGGCCCCAGCCTTCACAAGTCAGAGCAGAAGGAAAAATCATACTCAGGAACGGATTGTCTCCCACACTCCTCTTTTGATGTCTTTCTGGTCAGATATGTTGGAACACTGCCCAGTCTGAGCAGAACTCCCCTCCAAGCCTCCAGCCCACACCGGCCCCTCCAGAGGGGAAGATGTCTTCCCCCAAAAGCAGTGGACATCAAATGACTCAGGGAGCCTCTGAGCCTGGACAGAACACCCAAGGTCATGGCAGCTGGTGCTACGGCAAAGGAAGAAGCAGTCCCACTTAGGGTCGCTGAGCTTAACAGGATGACTGTAGGCATCAAGCTTCTCAGACACTATCAAGGGCTGAATGAGTTGCCTGGGGAAAAAGTCCCTCTATTAGCTATAGCAGTGGCCCAGATGAGTCAGTATTTTCTGCTACAGTGAAAAAAAAGTAGCATACTCTTCATGTCTCCATGGTAACTTACTATGGATCTGCATTCCATTTATGAAACTCCTTCTTGACCTATCTATGATTTCTGATCCAGGACTGAATAAAAACTGAGAAGCCATCAGAATCAAATCAGTCTCCTAGAAACAGCAATACTCCCCTGCACCTGGGCTATCTGAGCTGTGTAGACCCTGCCTCTGACTCATGCCTAGTAACACCTGAAGACCCTCAGGTGCCTGGAAGCATTACAGTGCACTAGTATCTCAATTATCCGGGTAACTCCGGATTTAGGGTTGCCATGGAAACCGGCAGCCTTGGCAACAGAGAAGGGAGATGGCTCTTCCTTCCCAGTACTGCAGTCCCTGAGATAGATGCGCCAACTTTCAGTCCCTTGGCCTTCCCCAAGCCGGATTGTTTTATTTTTTACCACCTTGAGGAATCCAAATTTTTCTCCAAAATATTGAGAAGCTGAGTAGGAAATGCACTTATGTCTACGCATGGACTCAATTGTAGCAATGGAAACCAGCAGTAGGGGTAATGGTTTTGACCGTGGTTGGGACTCAGATAAACTTCAGTTTCAACCGCGAATTTCCCATTCATACATTTTATGACCCGGCAAGTTATTTACCCTAAGGTTCAGCTTCCCTTACACTTTAAGTGGGAACAGTCACGGTTTGGAGAACGATAAGCATTCATTCGCCTGGAGCAGCTCCGCCAACGCTGGTTACCATCCAGGCACTGCCCAACTCTAGGGGGCGCCCCTCACACGATTCCGGAGGCTTGGGGCTTCCCGGAGCGGGGCAGGCTCAGCGACCCAACCGAGGGCCCAGCTCGGACCTTTATCATCTCAGACGCATTTCGTGATAGAACGATGAGAAATCGTAAGGCCAAAAGGAGATTCAGAGATGGGGCCGGTGTGAGCCCCTTATTACCCAAGCCCCGCGGCCACTCGGTGCCACCACCCCTCAGGACAAGGGTGGGGGAAACCGAGTCCTCCCAGGAGAGACTCTCCGTCTGACCTCCCCCGGCTCCCACCCGCTCGGGGCGCCGGGCCTGCTGTTCCCCGCGCACCGCGGTCCCAGAACAGCAGGCGAGGGACGGAGCCAGGTGACAGCGGGCGCGGAGCAAGGTCCCGGCCGGAAGGAGCCGGCTCCGCCCCCGCTCCCCTCCCTCTACTCCTCACCCCTCCTCTCTGCCCTCCCTCTCCGCCCCTCCTTCTCCTCCGCTCCCCTCCCTCCTCCCCCTCCTCCCCCTCCTCTGCTCTCTCCCTCCCCCTTCCTCCCTCTTCCACCCCTTCTCGGCTCTCTCCCTCCCCTCCACTCCTCTCACCTCTCGCCGCCCCTCCTCCGCCCCTCGCTTCTCCTCCTCCCTCCTCCCCCTTTCCTCCTTCTCCTCCCCTCCTCCACCCCTCCTCTCTCTCCTCCTCCCATCTTCTCCCCTCCTCTCTTTCCCCTCCCCCTTTCCCCTCCTCCCCTCCCCTCTGTCGTCTTTTCTCCCTCCTCCCTCCTCCCCCTGCTCTGAAGAGCGCGCCGCGAAGGGGACTGGCCGGTTACTTCCTTCGGTGGCGGCGCAGAGCGCGGCGCGGCCCATCCTCGAGCTCCTGGAGCCGCCTGCCTGCGCCCGGCCAGCGTCCCGGCTCCCGGCCCACCGCCCAGGTGCCCGCACCCGCGGCCCGGACCCCCGCCCCGCCGCCCTCGTCCTGGTCAGCGTCCGCCGCGCACCGCGGAGCCGGGCCCGGAGCCGCCGCCGGCCCTGCCCGAAGCGGCGCGGTAAGAGCGGGGCCCGGGGCGGGCGGCCGGGAGGGCCGGGGGTCCTCTCCTGGGGACCCAGACCCCGGGTGGGGGACGTGGGTAACCCAGAGGTCCGGCTCGCGAAGCGCAGCCGGGGTCGCGGCGGGGCGGCGACTCTTCCCCGGCTCCGGGCTCGCTCCCGGTGCCGGGGCGGCTCGGGGGCGGCTCGGGGAGGGGGGCCCGGGCCGGACGCCGGTGGGCCCGGCGGTGAGGCGCCGGGCGGGCTGCGAACTTGGGCCGTGGCAGCGGCTAGCCGAGCGGCCGGGCAGGGCGCGCCCGCCTGTTTCACTTGCTTTTGTTTTTAAAAGGAAATGCGGGTGTGTTGGGGGGCTTCTTCCAGAGGGCGCCCCGCGGGCTGATTTCGCTGCGGGTTTCGCTGATTTCTCTGCGGGTGGCTTACCCGAGCGCTCCGGGCCCGGTGGGATCGGGGGCGCCCGGCGCCTACAACACCTGGAGGCTGCAGCTCCCCGCAAACGTGCCGCGTCCCGGCTCACCTGCTCGGCCACTCCGGGGCCCGGCCAGGGGCGGCGGAAGAGGGAGGCTCCAGGAGGGGAGACCCCCACGGGCGCCCCGGGACTTCTCGATCGGGGCCCTCGGCGCCGCGAGGCGAGCGTGGGAGCCCGTGGGAAACGCGGGTGTGGGTGCGCGCGGCTGCCTTTATTTTCGCGTTCTTAAAGGATTTCGAATTCATACTTAGAAATGTGGGGTTTTTGGTTTTGTTTTGGATTTTGTTTCTATCTCTCTCTTTTAAGCACAGGAGATTTAAATTTTGGCCTGTATTCAGTTTCAGGGTAGCTTAAACTGGTAGTGACGAGCTACTTATTTAGAAAGTAAAGAAGTGAGCCCTTTGGAGATAGAGGTAATTTATTTTAATTCACCAGTAAGAGGTTATGTTCGTCTTGGACAATGCAAGCGCCCGTGCGCTATCTGCCTGTCCAAAGCTCCACCAATCAGGGAGATAAATCTCCAAGTTAAGGTTTATTAAAATTCTGAGTAATATCACAGTACAGTAAATGTTACACTGTGGGCCCTGCAGGGAAATAGTCACTCATTTCTGGCGTTAGTCATTCCTCTCTCCAAACCGATAACTTTTGAAAGAAAGAGCAAACTAACCTTGCAAAGTGGCAAATGGGTTTGTTTTTGGTTTTGTTTTTCTGATTTACCTAGATACTAACCTGTGCCCTGATCCCTCTGGTAAAGTATCAGTCCTTCCAGAAAGGGTACTTTTGTTAGGCTCTTTGTTTTAAAATTTCACTCTTCTCAGCTCACACATTTCTGCCCGGTTTTCTTTTTTTGTTCAAAAGCAGCAATCAGTAGGGCAACACCACCTTGCCCTAAATTTGAAATTGATTTGGGCAGAGGAACTTGCCCTCTTAACAAGCCTTGTGGAGTGAAATAAGTGAACTTCAATTTCCCTCGTTAAAATAAGTGAACTTCAATTTCCCTCGTTATGTGTCTGCCTGAAACCAGTGGAGGGACACTTTGATTCCCCATGGTTTTTACAAAACAGATTAAAAGCTGGACAACAAAAGAATTGTATTCTGTAGCTAGTAATTAGAGCTCTTTATGTGGGAGTGGTAGACTGCTTTTGCTCCTGGTATTTGTACCCAAAAATCAGGTGGACTTGACCCATTGCCTTCCATACCAATTCTCTGTCCACCTCTGTGAGGCTGAGAAAATGTACACTAAAGTCACCAAGTTGTCTGCAAACCAGACTTAGAAAAAGAGCTGGCCTAGTGGGCTCAGAAGGGATCACTGGTAACAGTTAAGGTGTGTTTTCATGTGGGTCTTCTGTCTGAGATTTGTTTATTTAATCAACAGGTAATAGGATTTAGTTCCTGAAGCTCAGACTTAAGGGCCATGTTCCATGGGAAATAGTGGTGAGCTCTGCCGGGGTCTAATAATATTTGCATGTGCTCTTCACTCCTTCGTGATGTGCTGGAAGAAGGCCCATGCCTCGTCATCCCAGTTACCTTCTCACAGAGGAGGTCCGCCGGGACTGATCTGCCCTGTGCCCCCTTAGTTAGCCCTGCAGTAGCTGTGTGATCCTGGGCAAGTCATCAGAGGTCTCTGGGTCTCCCTTGCCCTGTAAGATGCAACATCACTGTAAAATGTTGACAACATCCATCTCTGAGAAATGCCAGGAAGATTCAGTGAAGGGGGAATGTGTGGTCGCCCAGCATGGGCTTAGCTGTTGTCAGTAGGATCCTGTCCAATCGGGGGTCATTAGTAGTACATATTGATTCCTGAGTACACGTGGATGACATGACCCACTAAGAGATTCTGAGCCAACGTGGCCACTTTGGATCCAGAACAGATTCCTTCCTCTGCTCCCCTCTTGCCCCATAGGATGATTAATTTATTGATTAATTTATTGATGAATAATTTATTATTAATTTAGTCCAGCCTTCACAGGTCACCATGATAATTGCTTGTACTCTGAGGGTTTCACCAGTGCCTCTTGGCCTGCTCTGCGGCCTAGACTCCCCTCCCACGTTGCCTTTCTAGCCGCGGGTGTCTGTGTGTATGTATGTGTGTGTGTGTATAGTAGTTGGGAGGTCTGGTTGAGCCATAATGTTGATCATAAAGAGAAGACAAAGTACAAACTTGAAGTAGTCACAGGGAAATGTCCTACTCGCCACCTCCAGTAAGCCGTATCAATTGCACAATATTTTAATTACTCAGAGTTCCTGGTTGTAACAGGTGGCAGTGCCCAGGGGAGATTATGGGGGAAGACAATTAGGGGGACCCTGTAAAGCTGCCTATAGACCTTTGGTTCCAAAGCTGGAAAGCCAGGATGGGGGGGTGGTAAGGCATGCCCCATGGGGTAAAGGTTACTGTCATTCATGCTAGCCCAGCTTCTTCAAAAAGGAGTTTTAGTTTCAGTCTCTCTGTATTTTTATATACCACTCTGGTGGCATTATCTTGGTACCTTTCTTACTTATTAATGTAGAACTGAACCGGCCCGTCCTATGTTAGGGCTCCAAGTTCAGTTTTTGGTCTCCAGTGGTGCCCAGTTGCAAGCCACATAAAAACTAGAAGTTTCCTAACAGCCACATTCAATGTTAGGAAAGTAAGTGGAGTTAATTTCAGCATATCTCAATTAACCGGATACATTGGTATATTACATAAACGTGTAGTAAATACAAAGTCATGACTGAGAAACTTTACTTTTTCCTACCAAGGCTTTGAAATCTTGTGTATTTTACATGCGGAGCTCATCTCGGCCCATCCTAGCCCGGTGCCAAGTGCTTGGTGGCTGCAAGTGGCTGGTTAGTGCCGCATGGGTCACCGCGGGTCTGTCTTGCAGAAGCAAGTAAAGACTGCTCCATCCATGACCAGCATTACTTGCCCTTGGAGAAATGAGCAGCTGAGCAACACACAGAGAAGACCTATTTGGAGTTGGTGTAGTCCCCACGGGAGGGTCTGGGACAACATGGGAGGTTTGGCCTGGAGCAGTGGCTCTGGGAACCTGCTCTGTCCTTATGGGGAGTTCTTCCTCAGCGGGGAGGGGGTGGGCCCTAGGAAGCTCTTTCCAGCGTGCTGACCTGGATCTGGGTCCTCCAGGGCTTCCTGGGTTGAGCTGACTGCTTTCCCCTCCCCCTGCCCACAGCAGATGGGAGTGGCCTGTGCCTGCCTGGCACCCCTCTCTCCCTGAGGGTGTCCTGCACCCTGAGCCGACCGTGGACATGGTAGTGAAAAGCAGCACACCCCGCTCCCATCATGGGAAGACGAGGTCCTCCTGGCCTAGCTCCCCCAGCCAGGTTCCCTTGGGAGGCCCTGACCCGCCAGCCAGAAAGTGACTTTATCTGTGTGCTTTATCTCTAAGTGGAATTCTGGAGAGAATCAGCGTTATTATTTAATTACTCAAATAGCCTACCGTTTGTGAAAAGGGCTTTTTACGTAAGAACTGGCATTCAGGTTTGAATGACCTGTCTTGCTGTAGACCTTGACAGACTCCCCCAGAATTAGGGTTGATGAAGCCAGTAAAGACTCATTAGAAATGTGCGTGATTTGTTGCCCCCATAACTCTTTCTTTATGTCTTTTCCTTTTCTTCAAGATGAATGACTTTGGAATCAAGAACATGGACCAGGTAGCCCCTGTGTCTAACAGTTACAGAGGGACACTCAAGGTAAGTGAGCAAGTCTTCATTTAAAACCTCTTAGAAAACATTGGAGAACTGAATCTCTAGGAGAAAAAAAGACACATGCTGGGTTCTAGAAGACTCCTTCTTGCCCTAGCCTTTTAATTTATGGGCTGTGTGACTCCGGATTGTTTGCTTAAGCTCTCTGGGCCTCAGTTTTCTAGTCTATAAAATGGGTCTCCTGATGCTTGTTCTACTTGTCTTCCAAGATATGAAACCATTTAATTTGCAGATGGGGAGGCTTTTGTGGTTTATTCCTGAGATTCCTGGCAGGTGAAAAATCCTATGGTTCTCAGTAGGACAGAGCTCTTGGAGAAGCTGTCTCCACTGCTATTCAGTTCCCCAGTGAGTTTTCCCGGGGCGATGGGCTGGCTGTAGAAGAACTGGAAAGGAAAGAGCTGAGTGGTGGATGACCAGCCCCGCTGGGGGGCTTCTTCCCTTCAGAAGGGCCGGTGCCCGTGGGGCCGCAGGTACCCTGTCCTCCCTGCTACAGAGAACAGCGTTGCCTGTTGGCGTAAACCAAAACACAGATGAACAATGAAGGAGCTTTTTCCAGTGCATAATAACCAAATTTCATGTAGCTGCTATCTCAGTTCCTTTGGGGAACGTTCTCAAGTAGCACAAACTGATCATTTCCCCTTTGCCTTCTCCAAACATGACAGCGAGATTGGATTGTTTTCTTAGCGTGGTGTAGTAGACACGTTTCAGGGCTGCAATTTTTAGACTCGCTTCCTCCAAGCCTGTGGAGTGATGTATCTCTGTCATGTTGGATTTTCTGCTGTGAATCCTTAGCAGGTTATTTGTCTGGGAGAGCCCAAAGAGCCAAAAATGGGTACAGAGGCTGTATGGTGAAGGTCATGTATGGTTGAAGGTCATGAAACTTCAACCCAGCCAGTTCTCTGGTTTGATTTGGTCAGCTGTTTTCAGTGTGGCAGAAACCATATGAGAAATTGCACTATGAAGTTTGTAACCATACCCCTGGGAAGAAATATTCTTCTATAAGTTAAAAAGGCTTCAATGATGCCCATGTGATTTCTGGGTTTGAAGAAGAAAGTTATTGCTGAAATTGAGGTGTTGAAATACTCAGTGCGAATTTGTATTGTCTTTTGGCTTCCTGATTTTAAAAAAAAGAACTTCCAGCAAGGAAAGGAGAGGCATTTCTTGGTCACCCGGGGAAAGGCTAGTGGGAATTTTAAAAACTGATGGGCTATTTCACCAAAATTAGCCCTGAAGTAGTTCATATGTCTAGGTACGGATTTCGAACGTGATCGGTTCTCCCCTTAAGGTTTTGGCAGTTGGACATTGTTGTCCTGGACTTTGGGGGGCTGGCCTCCAACATCATTGGGACATCATTGCCTTGAGTGTTTTCAGCAGAGTCCCAACTCCTGCCTGCCTTCTTACGTAATGCGTCATGCATTGTTCTGCATTTCTAAGAAGAAAGCACACAAACCAATTTTATTTGTAAATGTGTTGCACATTTTTTTAATTGATGACTCAACAGATGGGTCATTGTGTTACACATAACATGGGCTTTCCAGTTTATGCTGGAAAAATATAACCATCTTTTACGTTGTTCCTCAGCAAGTCAGGCAGTGATGAATCAAGACTCTTCTCTGTTACTTATCAACCGGTCTTACACTAAAGGCTATCTCTTTCATAAATGTTAGACGAATTATCAGAGATCAACACACAGTATCTTTTTCTGTGTCTCTGTCCTCTTCCTCCCCCTAAGCTATAGAGAATTTAACTTGAAACCTCTTTTCCTTTGGAAATCTTTCCCCTTAGTTGATGATGTGGGGCAAGGGTCTTTTCAAAATGTCTACATTTATAAAATTAAACCTTTGTGAGGAATGTTTTCATATGTATTACTATCTTCTGAACCATTGGAATTGATAAGGGGGGAAAAATCTAGTTTCAATTAAAGCGTTTCACAGTTAAACATAAAAATAAATGCTTCCACAAATAGTTTAGCTTACTGTTTGTTTTCCAAGTTTCATTCAGTCATCTGCTTTCGCTTTAACTGCAGTAACTGAGCTAAAACTGTCCTGTGAAGCGTGTGACTCAGTTTACCCCTGATGGGACAGAGGGCCCAGGTGTTTGGACCAGCTGGTCTCTAAGTTCCACCTAGCACTGTTCTTCTAAAATCCCATTATTTTTAGGTTTGTTTACTTAGTTTACTCACTGAAATTAGTTAGACCATTAAAAGGAAATTCCCAGTCATTTTGACTCCGTGAAGTCGATGCAATGATCCAGAGTTAAACAGAATCCTTTCCATCACTTTGAAAGAAGTCTGCTTGGACCATTGACTGGTCATTTCCTTTTATGGCTTTTTAATTGCCAGTTTCATCAGGGTGTATCGGGAAGATGACCGTGGACCACTTTTCAAACAGGTAATTAAGTAAGTTTAAATATCAATTTCGGTCTCTTTCTCTGTCTGTTTTGCAGCGCCAGCCAGCTTTTGACACTTTTGATGGGTCCCTGTTTGCCGTTTTCCCCTCTCTCAGTGAAGAGCAAACACTCCAAGAGGTGCCAACAGGCTTGGATTCCATTTCTCATGGTAATTTGTTACTCAGACTTGACCAATCATGCATGATTTCCCATAGTTGAGTTACTAAAAACATGACCACTGGTAAGCGACAAAGGTTGGTGTCTTCAGTTTCGGGTTTGAAAAGTCAGATGGTGACTGTGGACCTGGGAAAAGACGGTTTTCCTCCTTCATGAGCATGAGGGTACCGATGTCATCCACTGCCAGACACTCCAGACTGCAGCAGGGCCCTGAGATTTCCAGGGATGGGATGTTCTCATCCCTCTCGCAGACCCAAGCCCCTTGTCCCCGGGGCACCTGCAAAGCAGACCATGAAAGTGCCCTCCAGTTTCTCATTCTGGGGTCTCACCATTAGGTTTGATCATCCCCCACCCCAGAGTCCTGGGGCAGCAAAATTATACGTGCCGGTCTGCATTTACTTCTGTAGTTCTTAATGTTGTTGTTTATGATTTTCTAAAGGGATAGCAGTCAGATAATGCCTATGCAATTACTGTGATAGGGTTATTAGTTGGAAACATTCCAGACATTACTTTGTCCTGTGAAGTAGGTGCTAGAAAATATAACCTAGAAAATTAATTAAAAAACATAGGCTTGCATAAGCCTGCCATCCCGAGCCGGCCATTGATCATTCTTGAAACTGCTGAGCGAATCCAGAGGAGATTTTCATTAAAAATTGCAGGTGTGCTGACTTTACAGGTGCTAGAAAGTCCCTTTGCCTGCTGCTTACTTTAATGGAAGCAGTGTTACACTGCACATTTGCCTCTCTTGAAACTTTTGACCAAAACCATTACTTTCCTTCAGTGTCCAAAAATTATCAAAGAGATTTAGATAGAAATTTCAACGAAGGGTAATTGGTTTTTTAATGATGTTCTGCAAAATAATTTGCAAAATAAAATAAAGCTTAAGTTCTATTTCAGTTTTTTTTAATAAGTGTTGTTATGAGATGTATAATACTTTCTCAACTTCTGCTGCCCCATCCCCCAATTTTTGTTAATATTTATACTCTTTTAAAGAGTGCCATCAACAGGGCATCTGGGTGGCTCAGTGGGTTAGGCCTCTGCCTTCAGCTCAGGTCATGATCTCAGGGTCCTGGGATCGAGCCCCGCATCATGCTCTCTGCTCAGCAGGGAACCTGCTTTCCCCTCTCCCTGCCTGCCTCTCTGCCTACTTGTGACCGCTTTCTCTGTCAAATAAATAAATAAAATCTTTAAAAAAAAAAAAAAAAAAAAAGAATGCCATCAAGGTTTGCAATTGGAATTGTTCCTTCCTGAAAACAAAGATTTCTCCCCTAAATTCTCTCTCCAGTCTTGCCTGCTTAAGGTCCTAATGTCCCCCTGGGTTTTCTTTCTAGACTCTTCCAACTGTGAATTGCCTCTGTTAACCCCGTGCAGCAAGGCTGTCATGAGTCAAGCCTTAAAAGCTACCTTCAGTGGCTTCAAGAAGGAGCAGCGCCGCCTGGGCATCCCAAAGAGTAAGTGCTCTCCAGGTGTTTCCCTGAGTCCGTGTTGTAGGAGAACAACAAATCGGACCGCGGTTGCCTGAGACGACTTTTTCTTCCATCCTTGCTTGGAGCATCTTGCAGGGTGGCAAGGATGTGGTTAACCTGAGCTGGTTTTTAGTTGGACCCTGTTGACTGAACACTTAATCCAGCACTGTTGTCAGGGTCTTAGAATTCCCCTGGGTGTCTTACTTCTTTGGCCAGTCTTTGGAACGCATCTGGACTTTGTGATAGATCGGGAGTAACTCTGTTTTTTCCCTGTGTTCCGTCTTTGCTTCCCTCCCCGGCAGACCCCTGGCTGTGGACCGAGCAGCAAGTGTGCCAGTGGCTTCTCTGGGCCACCAATGAGTTCAGCCTGGTCAATGTCAATTTCCAGAGGTTCGGCATGAATGGCCAGGTGTTGTGCAACCTGGGCAAGGAGCGCTTTCTGGAGCTGGCTCCCGATTTCGTGGGCGACATTCTCTGGGAGCATCTGGAGCAAATGATCAAAGGTACCCACCGAGGAACCAGGCGCCTCGCTGTTGGGGAGAGCCGTGGCGGGGAAGGGAGATGGGGGATCCGTGCTCCGCAGTCGTACGGTTGGGGTTTCCAATTGTGTGGAGCAAGATCGCCTGAGAATGCCACCAAGTGAGTCAAATGTGTGACAGCGATTATAGGTTTTTTAATCTGTGTGTGTCTGGCATCAAGGATAGCCACCAGGCAATAACCTTACTCACTACCTTGTTGACAGTGATCCGATGGCTTGCATCAGGGGCATACGTGTTGCCTCAGATATGGGAGCCCAGCAAGTCCCGTGTTTCGTGGCTCACCTTATGGAACCCAAAGAAGAAAGTCAGACTCAATGAAAGGGAGCCTTTATTCAGACAAACTCTGTGAATTTGACCATGAATTTTCCTAAGACCAAATGGAATCCAGCAGCAAGAATTTCTTCTGGTTTTATGTATTTAAACACAGGCAGACATAATTGATGCATATTTATATACTGACATTACACAGACTACCATTGAACAAAAGAATTCATCATATAGAAAATTTTGGTTAAGCTTACAAGAGTGTTGACAGCAGTATTAAAAATATATCTAGTTAAAAAGGAGAGGAAAAAAAGCTATAGTGAGGGGTTAGGTTAAAAATATGGGAAAACTAGTTCTTTGGTCGAGTTCAGAGCAATAGTCCTCGTTCACTTGGTTTCAAACACTGGGTTTCAACACTGTTTACAGACTCAAAATCTTTAAAAGACCTTAGGATTTAGCCACCCTCTCCTGGCTGTGGCTTCTGGGGGCCAAGGACACTTATGTTTGGAGACCCCCAAATTCCCCCTGAATTTGAACAAGTCTGATTGGACAAGTTTCTGGTAGATCTGTTCACTGGCAGTTTGGGCCTGTTTTGCCATCACTCGGGCTGTAAGTCTGAGGGTCTGGATTTGTGGGTATGCATGGTTCAGTGTGTTTGTAGGAAGTAAGCACACACCAAGAATACTAACCTTTTCCTTTTCAAGGTCCCGGTGCACCGTGGCACCTTCAGGGCCCCACAGCACTGCTGGCCTCTCTGCCGAGCTCATCTCACCCTGGAGAAACGTGGGGTTTGAAGCCACGACCCCTAACCTCAAGTGGGCAGGAGCTGGGTCCGCTTTACTAACCCACTGTATTCCCAGCCCCTGGGACACGTGGCACTTCATAAATATTTAACTGTCTGTTGTTGGCACAGATGAATTAAAATCACAGTGTAGATATTTAAAATTATGCAGCAGAACATTTCACTTGGCCAATGATAGCATTCATTCTGGAAAACTTACTCCGGATATTAGAAAGTGTGTTGCCATCTCTAGTTTTTGAAAAAGACCAAGTGACACCAAATCCCGTCAGCTTAAATATGAAACATAAATGCATTTAATTATCCTAAAATAACCATATAGCAGTAGTTTAGAAATCAACATTCTTTCTTGCATAGTTTTAACCTCGATTTGCAATGCTGTTTTCCAGAAAACCAAGAAAAGACAGAAGATCAGTATGAAGAAGATTCACACCTCAACTCAGTCCCTCATTGGATTAATAGCAATTCACTAGGTGAGTCCAATCAGTTCTGCCCTGAAGACCTTGGTGTTAAGTTTTTCTATTAAATTGGGACTCCCACCCCCGCAAAATAAATCAATAAAATAAAAATAAATTTGCGGAAGGTCCAAAGGCCAGTCTCAGCCTGCGCGGTCCCATCGGGCGACCACATGTGGATGTTGAGCCACTGAACACTTGAAACGTGGCTGGTCCACGTGGACACATGTGGTAAGAATATAAGCTTAATGAAACAAAGAACGTAAAATGCCTCCTTAATCAATTTTAAGATACTGATTACATGTTAAGATGATAATTGGTAATACAGGGACAGGTAAAATATTACAAGTAATTTCACCTGTTTCTTTTTAATTTGCTTTTGTGGCTTCTAGAAGATGTAACATTGCCTACATGGCTGTGTTATACATTGGCCAGTGCCGTCCGAGGCAGTTCAGAGAGCCCGGAGTGGAAGGAATGAGCAGATGAGCTGTGGGCTGAGCTAGCGTAATAAGTTGGGGTCCAGGCACAGGAGGCGTGTAGAAAGCAAGTCTGAGTTTGCTCTGATCTTTGGAGTTTAAAGAAGTGTCCTGGAATTCGGGTCTTTCCTTCTGATCAGTGACACTGATGAGTGTAGGTTACAGGACTGGAGCGGGGGACCCTAGCCAGCAGAGGGAGGGGATGTTCCTTACAAGTCACATACTGGCTGGCAAATCGCTCGTCTCTCTGAGCCTTATTGCCCTCGGAAGTGGAAAGAGCCAGTGACCTGCGCCACCCCGAGAGTCGCATGAAAGCATTTGATAACCTAGAGCTGTAGAAGTGCTCACGTCGAGGGTGTTGCATCGTGGTCCAGAGGCAGCAGGCGTTTGGGCAAAGGGCTTATCGGCCGAGAGTGGGAACGGCTTGAGAAGAGGAGCTGATGGGAAAGCCACCTGCCAAAGCCCGTGCGGTTTCTGAGAGAGTTAGAGCGTGCAGAACTGGGTGCATTTGATTTGGTTCAAGGGCGCGGAGGGTCTCTGATGACCCCGTCACTCCTGCCTCATAGCTCTGCCATCCGACTGTTCTATCCCAGGCTTCGGCATGGAGCAGGCAGTGTATGGCGTGCAGACCCAGAACTATCCCAAAGGTGGCCTCCTGGACGTGTGTCCGTCCTCCTCAGCGCCCAGCATGCTCGGTTCCGAGCAGGAGTTTCAGATGCTCCCTAAGTCTCGACTCAGCACTGTCAGCGTCAACTACTGCCCCGTCGGTCAGGACTTCCCGAGCGGCAACTTGAACCTGCTCGCCGGCGGTGCCAGTAAGTCAGGCTCCCGAGAGCTCTGTCAGCCAGGGGGGTGGGTTGCTGCCAGGAGCCACAGTAGAACAGAGACAGGAGCTCCTTAAGCAGTGCAGCCTGTGTTCAGCCGTTGGAGGAGGTCAGACGCTCCTCTGCGTCCTGAGCAGCTGTCCCGCGCTGTCCCCGCAGGGGACAGATTTGCTCTCATGCGTGGACTCCTGCTGTGTTTTAGGCTCTGGGCTGGGCGCTGCAGGGACTGAGTGAATGAGACAGGGCCCCTGCTGTTGCAGCGGGATCCCCCCCCCCTACTGTGGTGGGATATTTTGGGAGAAGGTACAGGAACATGACATTCCCACAGTCCACAGTTTCCCCACACCAGGAGGAAACCACTGTCTTGACTTTTGTCCTCATAGATCCGTTTTTCCTGTCCTTGAGCTTCATAGAAACGGAATCCTTGCGTTACGTTTTCTTTCGTGTTGGTCTTTTGCTCCTCGTGTGTCTGAGACCCAGCCATGCTGTTGGATGGGGCACACGGTTGCTCTTTTCATTGCTGTATAATACTCCATCCCATGAGGACGTGCTCCCCCCGGCCCCACCATGCTGCTGTGGGTGGAGGTTGTCATTGTATAGGGCATTTGTCGTAAGGAGTGAGTGCCTGGCGAGAAGTCCGGGACTCTGCACCAGCGGGCTGTAGGCGTAGTGGGGTTGCTGCAGCCCCAGACCAGCCTGTGGGACCCATGCGCCCACCCCCTGTCCCCCATCGCTCAGCAGCACCAGTCGATTTGCTGTTGTGGAGAGTCAGCGTTTGTGCCCGGCTGTGTTTGCCAGGGAAGCCCCGGGACCACGACTCCCCCGAGAACGGCACAGACAGCTTCGAGAGCTCTGACTCCCTGCTGCAGTCCTGGAACAGCCAGTCGTCGCTGCTTGACGTGCAGCGCGTGCCGTCCTTCGAGAGCTTCGAGGATGACTGCAGCCAGTCCCTGTGCCTCAGTAAGCCGACCATGTCCTTCAAGGACTACATCCAGGAGAGGAGCGACCCGGTGGAGCAGGGCAAACCGGTTATACCCGCGGCAGTGCTGGCTGGCTTCACGGGTGAGTGCGTCACGCCGGCTTTCCCCGTGCCCTCCCCGAGGCCCTGCCCCAACGCCGTGTTCCTCCAGGCTGTCTCTGGTCCGAGCACATTGTAGCTACGGCCCACACTTGGTGCGTGGCTGTCATCCTAAATCAGCCAGGCTGTACCCCTGAATCCTAAAAAGGTCGAGCTCGCACGAATCGTCGTGCACAGTGGCATGGATGGGAGCCCACAGGCTGCCCTCTCCCCTGGGATGTGCTCAGCCAGCCTGGAGAGGAGCAGGCATGGGGGGCCCGGGCCCATGGAGGCCTCAGCTCTGGCTCACCCACTCCACAAATCCCAAAGAATGTAAACTGGCCCAGGGAGGGACAGCAGAGCCAGCCTCAAACATCACGGGGACTGTTTACCTTTGCTTGCTTCTAAAATCCATTTCATTTTTAAGATTTGGGCAAGAGCTATTTTAGGCAAAGGACAAATATTAGAGCTGTTTTTAGAATCAAATATTTCCAGTACTTTAGCAAAAACACCAAGTTTTTTTTTTCATTGCTTCATGGGTCTTTAAATGTGTTTTTTTCCTATTTTGACCATATGGAGCCACTGGATTAAAAAATGCCTACTTAAAATATTCAGTACAGAAGCAGCCACTTTTTTCTTTTTTGTCATCCCAAACACCCACAGGAATGGGGTTGGTAAGAAAATAAACAGCCATGGTGTGACTGTCTTTCTTCTTTTTTTTTTAAGGTTTTAAATTTATTTATTTATTTATTTATTTATTTATTTATTTATTGAGAAAGAGGATCGTGGACGCCTATGCAAGCACGTGGTGGGGAGGGGGCCAGGGACAGGGAGAGAGAGAATCCAGAGCAGACTCCCCACTGAGCACGGATCACAACACGGCTTGACCTCACGACCCTGAGCTCGTGACCTGAGCCAAAATCAAGACCCAGATGCTCAACCGACTGAGCCATCCAGGCACCCCTTGCTGTTTTTCATTTGAATATTGGTTACCATTTGTTGACTGTCAGCTCTGTGCAGTTAACTAGGCATATATAGTTGCCTGTCCTTGGAGCAGCCCAGCAGGGGTGGGCGTTACCCTGTTGGACCCATTGGACAGTTGGCTCAGAGGCCGACAGCTCTTCATGGTCACATGGGTAACCTGGTTGTGCCTGGTTCCAGAACTCCCGTCCTTGGTTCTTTACAGCCTCATTGCTGAGGGCCACTGGGTCTTGAAGAACGACTGTTCCATGGGTGTGTGATCTCGGGCGGGGCACCTGCCTCTGAACTGTTCCTCATCTTTAAAATAGTTCTTCATAAGGTGGCGGTTCTAAATATCAATCCAGAAAAGGCATATGAAAACCGAAGTGTACCTCACCAGAGCCAGTGAGGCCGTGGAGGCAACCCCAGGTGCCCAAGTGGCGTTGAGTAAACCAAGTCTTGGATTAGGCAATTTACCCGCCGTCGTTTGGCAGGAAGGCGGTAGCCTGGGATTCCATGAGACATGCCTCCTTCTGTGGTGAAATGCCCTTTCAGCCACCCCCACCCCGGTCCCATTGGGTGGTTCTAGAAAGGAACCCTGAAACTTATTACATAAGAAACAATTAAACAGGATGAGGAATTTTTTATTTTTTTAAGATTTCATTTTTAAATCATCTCTACACCCAGCTTGGGGCTCCAACTCGCAGCCAGTCCCCTGCTCTACCCACTGAGCCAGCCAGGCACCCCCAGAATGAGGACTTTTAAGGTCAAGAGTTGGTGGCCCTGAATTTTCTTCCAGAAAGACCCGACTCAGCAACCCAGGGCGTGAAGTGCCCACTTTTTCAGGAGGGGGAGGGAGGAAGTGAGACCCCAGAATGTGTGTCTAGCCTGATGCCATTAAAGCGGTCCGTCCTGTCACCACGCTTGGGAGATGTGCCTTCATGTTGGCTCCCTGCCCAGAGTAGGGGCTCCCGTTCCTCCGTCAGCCTGTTCCATTAGAAAGGCCCAAAGCCTTGCCATACTTCAAATCTATGAAAACATACAACTCGCCCCTTTCCCCCAGGAAGTGGACCTATTCAGCTGTGGCAGTTTCTCCTGGAATTGCTCTCAGACAAATCCTGCCAGCCATTCATCAGCTGGACCGGGGACGGCTGGGAGTTCAAGCTCGCGGACCCTGACGAGGTACAGCCAGCGCTTGGGAAGTCAGTGTCTGGGCTTTGAACCCTGATTTCATCACTCTGGGCTCACAGATTCAGTTCTCGGGGCCCAAGGAAGGGCTCCCCGCTGCAGATGAGTTCTAGCATTCTCTGGGTATGTGTGTGGGCACAGGGCAGGCTTCTGCGAGTTGCTCTCTCATCTGATAAAAAGGCCCAGGTGCTAAGTGAGGTTGTCTCCTGACCATCTGAAAATGCCTTAGGAATGTGCCTTTTCCCACTGGTGGGGAGTGAGGCTCCCAGCAGCCCGGGCTGGTCCTCTGGCCGGTGCCTTTCTGCCACGCTCAGCTCAGGCACTTGGAAACCCTGGAGGGGAAGGCCAAGGGCAGATGCCATACTCTACCCTCCAGGACAATGTTAAAGAAGCCCGTGATCTCAAGCAGCCTTAGAGTGCAAGCTTTCGCCTCTGGCTCACTCCGATCCCCTGGGGAAGCAGAAGCCTTAGAGAACGCAGAATGTCACAGGGCTCAGAGCCCCACCCAGCATCTGTTGACTGTGGGGCTCGGAGGGGAGAGACACTACTTCCCACCTGGTTGGGAATTCTTGTCCCCGGCATGAAGCCTTGCTGCACAGGAGGGGACGAGAGGGGACGGTGCTGTGGGCGGGGAACCCTCACTCTCCCACCTGCCCTGCTTCCGTCCTTAGAAAGGCATCGAGGGACTCCCTGCCGCTGCAGGTGCTGGGACACACCACACCCTTGGGCCCCTTCTATAGTGCTCAGGTCCTCTGGGGGCAGCAGACATGAGACTCCTCGCTGGATGCAGGTCATTCATTTTCCTGAATTGCAGATTTGAACTCTTTTCCCCCCCTGTGCCTGCTGCAGGTGGCCCGCCGGTGGGGAAAGAGGAAAAACAAGCCCAAGATGAACTATGAGAAGCTGAGCCGGGGGCTGCGCTATTACTACGACAAGAACATCATCCACAAGACGTCGGGGAAGCGCTACGTGTACCGCTTCGTGTGCGACCTGCAGAACTTGCTGGGCTTCGCCCCCGAGGAGCTGCACGCCATCCTGGGCGTCCAGCCAGACACAGAGGACTGAGGCCCCGGGGGGGCTGCGAGTGCGGCCATCCGACCCACCGCTCCAGTGACCCTGAGAGGCGGGATTGGACGCATCCAGGAGAGTCCCCAAGAAGCAGTGGCCTTATTTCACTGGAAACCACGGCTTTTCACCCAAAGCAGCGTGGTTTCTCACTTGTAAAGCCCACTGACGGGAACGCGCTATGTATGATGCTCTGACCTCAGAGTGGCCAAGAAAGAAGTGCTGGGAAGCCGTCCTGGCTCTGAGCAGGCCATGTGATAGGGACGTGCAGGCCGTGGGGTAGTCTCCAAGGAGTGAGCGTGTCTCAGGCACATGCATTTTGGCTTCTTCTTTTTTTTTTTTTAAATGTTCTTTTGCCTTTGGCTGCCAGGAATCACAAAGGCAGAAGCGGTCTCTTTGGTTCAGCGAGGCGGAGGGTGTAGGGAGACAGCCGTGCCATTTCAGAAGTTAGTTTGTATATATGACTGTAATCCTAATAATTGTTGTCAAAATCTTCTCAGAGTCCTATTTAACGAGAACTGTATATTGTAATTTAAAATACTTCTGTACGTGTATTGGAAAGATCTCAGACACCCGGTGTCTCTGCGGTTCCAAGGAGTGCTCACCGCGTTCCACGAGCCCGGGGTCTGCGCAGGCGGACGGAGGAGCTGTAAAGTGTGTATTATTTACATTTAACATGCCTACAGGTAGACATTGAAGAGGGTCAGTCCCTGTTTCTGTTTGGTTTTGCCTGGATGATTATCTGGCAAGACTTTGTACATTTGGGAATTTTTATAAAAACTTAATGTTATTATCCGGAGGCCCATCCCGCCTCTGCTTTCTCCTTAATTGTAATGTAAAAGCTATAAAGCGGTATTTTTCTTGACAAATGGCATCTGTTTTCCATTTCTGTGCATGCCTTTAAATCCGTTTATACACAAGACTGATTTTATTTTTTAGTTCAACTGTTTCCCCAACAACTAACCTCCCTGACCAGCCGTTTCCTTCCTTTGCCCCACCTCCGCACCCCAAATTATCCTGTATGATTAAAATAAGAATGCTATTTTTGGAAATATGTGGCTCCTTTTTCAGAGAGCAGGAGGAATTTATGTAGCAGCTACTTTGACTGCAAGTAACTCACTGGAAAAAATGTAATTTATAAGAAAGCTTTATTTTTGTCTGCACTCCATGGGAAGTTAAACATGTCATCCGGAGCGGAAACCCGGGGCAGGTGGGGGACAGGAAGGGGGTATCTTCGGGAAGCCTCTTGGTCGTGAACAGGACACGACTTTTCCCTCAAGCTGTCGAGGCCCGGGCTGGCTGGACACCGTGCCGCTCCTTGCTGCTCAGTGTGCCCAAGCTCCGTGTTCCTGTTTCCGTGGGTGCAGAATGTCCAGAGGCGAAGAGAGGACAAGCGAGACGGGAAAGAGAATCCATCGGAAGATTCAATGTGAAAAACATTTTGCTCGCCATGGAGACTGTCGTGGTTGTTTCAAAGGACCCCTGGGGTGGGCCTGCATCCAGGGTGCTTGGAACAGATCAAGCCAATGTGATTTCAGAGCCGCACGGGCTTCCCTCGCAGTGCAGGGCTGTTCAGGGAGCGCTGGGAGCTGTGGCTGACGTCCCCAGGGAAGAGTCCATCCCTGCGATGAGGCTGCGGGACTGGGTGGTGGGGCTGGCTGGGCAGACCAGCGCCGGGGCTGGAGGACTCAGTCCCAGCACCCACGGGAGACCATGTCCAGTGTCCAAGCACAGGACGTTTTTCTCAAGCAGGACATGTTTATCACTGAGACATCTGTTTATAACATCCCCAGACATGTGACGGGGACCATCTGGCTGCCAAAGGGAATCTTAGCCTTCGGCTCGTTTTATGTGGGGTTGAACCAAACGAAATTGCCAATATTTGACTTTTTTTATCTACAAAGTTGGCAGTTTCGTGTGATTCAGCCTAATAGTTACAGAAACTAAAGCCCATGGTAACCCTTTGGTGTGGTAATGCACAGACCTGAGGATAAAGATTTTGTAATCTGGCCTTTCCTTTCTCAAATAATAAAGTATTTTGTTTATGTAAATGCCTCCTTGTAAGGGTCCTTTTGTCCCACCCCAGCAGGGAGGGAGGAGGGGAGGCAGAGTGAGGACAGTGAACCCTGACCCATGGCCCCCCCCACCCCGCAGTTTCCAGCCTGCTGAGACTCCCATCTCCATTTAACTGGTTTTACACATGCAGTCACCCAGCAAATCATGACCAAGCTGCAACCCAGCTGTAAGCTCTTCCTGAAGGACCCCCCCCCCCCAGAAAGTGTTCCCTTAAATCAAAAAATGCTTTTAAGAAGGGATTAGAATAGAAAGGTGCGGTTGTCTTGTTTTTGCCAAGGAATTGGCAAAGGTAACAGAAGAAATTGTTGGATGCTTCTGTGAGGAACCCATTAGGGTTTGAGGCTCAGGGACTTTCACCGCGATGCCTGACGATCTGATTTACTGGAGGTGAGGGTGATAGTCCTGGGATGTGGGTTCTCAAAACATTTCAAAGTTCGTGATGATGCCAGCAAACAGGTGGGCTACATCAGAGGTGTGCAGGAGCCCCTCCCTGTGGGCTGGTGAATTGCAACAGTGACGTATTGGTATCTTCAATGTGATCGAGATGAGAGTGTTTCTGTCATAAAATTGGCAGACACTACAAATTAGGGCTCCTTTCAAGCCCCCTCAGGGAGCTGGTTCTTAAAACAGTTATCAGAACACCACTGGTCACCAGTGTTCACTGTGTTAGAAATTAGAAAACCTTTTAAAATGCAATTACTTTTTAAAATAACATTAATGCTTTTGTGGAAAATAACTTTTTCCCAAAAAGTGAGTGTGGCATTGTTTTGCATGTTTTCAGATTTCCTTGATGTCTCGTTTAAAAGAAGGGAGCTGGGATCTTGAATATTCTTCCACATTTTGTCTTGTGATATATTTTGAAGGAGATCAGGCCTCACACAGCTATGTAATCGAACAAAGGAGCATTCGGGAGACATATACTACACCAAACATGGCAAATGCAAGTTTCTTCAAAGTTCATTGCAGTTAGAATGTGAAACCGTATCAACAAACTTTCCTATGATTATAATAAATTCCACTGCTCTGCCTTGCACTTTGAATGGATCCTTCACCTATGTGTGATTTTTTAACATCATGCATTAGTCATTTGGAAAATATTGCTTCAAAATGTTGACCCATTTCAACAGCTAATGTCAAATGATCACCTTAGTTGCTGTCATCATAACTTTTACCCGAAAAGTATTGGGAATCTACCAAGCTCACAGCAGCAGATGTAAATTTTCAAAAAATTCAGATTCTCATTTGAAAGCTCAAATGTTATCAATGGCAACAAACACTTTACGTTGCCCTCTTTGAAGTGACAGACTCATTTCATTTCCTTTTGAGGACATAACTGTCAGATACCCAACAGACATAACTTGTCTGTTGTTCTTGCAGGTAAAAATGGTGTCCTCGGACAAAGTGATTAGTTTAACTCACAACTCACACAAAGGTGGGACAGCATTTCCCAGGACAGCCCATCTACCTTAGTGTGCAGCAGTCCTTTATGTGCAGCACTGATTACCTAGAAGTTAAAAAGATGTGTATTCACTTATGAAAAAAAATTAGTTTTTACTTTTTTATCGAGTTCTCTTTTTTTGTTGTTATTTTTGTGATTTTTATTCTGTTATTTTTTTTTTCCCACTGAGTACACAATGGTAAAGAAGACAGCGATGGCTGCAACAGTTTAGTGCTAAGGCCCCAGCAGTTTTACCCACCTTTGCTTTGCTTTTGCAAAGGTGACATTGAGGATCCCCTGAAAGGGTGCCAGAGCCCCACAGTTGTCTATGGACCTCACTCTAAGAACTCTTCTGGAAAGCCAAGCAGCTCATTCCAGAACACAGACTGGAACAGGAAGCATGAAGGTGACCAGGAGTCGGGTGAAGAGAATTTTCCTTTCTCCTCTTGGAGCCAGTGTCCATCCTTCCAATCTTACCCTGCCATAGCCAGTTAAGAGGAGCAGTTTTATTAAAAAAAAAAAAAATTGTCTAATGTTTTACATGATAAGGAAAAAGTTCACTCACAGGTGAGATAGATATTCTCAAAGTCTTTCTCTCCCATCTTTCACTCTGTCTGTCCTTTTCCATGTGTCACTCCAGTTCTAAATCTTTTGTAATGTAGTATATTTCACCATATTTTAAAAGCTAATTTTTCTTAACACAGTAAAAACAGGTCATAAAGAGATGAGGTGCACGTGGCCTATCTCCCAGCTCATCCACATGGAGGTGAAGAAGCAAACTTAAATTGTCCCTAGGCCACACCATGTCCCGGTTCTCCCCCCGTGCAGGGGCCCCCGAGGACCTCAGATCTCCAAATAGTGGACACTCATGAGCAGTAGTGATTCGGAGCCTGAAGGAACTGCTCTGTTGGGTGTGTGACGTGCAGGATGTGGGGCCAGAGCAGGTGGACAAGGAACAGGGGGGACACGGAGGGTAGTAACTTTTTTCATCACCTCTTTGGAAAAATCAAGCAAGTTGGCTGTAGCGTTTATTGTGCTTTGGCCTGAGCTTGAATTATCATTCTCACCCAGCAGTCATGCACTGCTGTGTGACCTTGGACATGTAACTTCATCGCTCTGTGCCTCAGTTTCCCCTCCAGAAAGTGGAGTCACTGGGTGGCAATGGATGGATGTATCTTTCATTTTTTAAGATGGCGAGAAGTCAGTGACTTGGCACCGGGCGGGGAGGGGGGTACTCCATTTAAGTCATGAGCAAAGCATTCCAGCAGGGGTCTCTGAAGAAAACACGGCGCCCGGAAATCATCTCTGTTTTCATATGAAGAAACCCAGGCACAGAGTTCAGTGATAAAGCTGGCACTTACCTCAATCAGGGCTCAGACATAGGCCTTCCATTTCTCAATGTTGTCCTTTTGCCGTGATAACTGCACTGTGTTTTGTTTAAGTCATTATAAATCCTACCCAGGGACTCCCCCAAGCTTCTAGTTCCTTCTCCTGTTCTGTTTTAAACAGAGTACACAGCCCTTGATTTGAATTTTTATATTATCCATGAGCCTCCTACCCAAAGGACACCCAGTCCTCATACACACAGCAGCTGGAGGCAGCTAGTTTAGTTTGAGCAGATGCGTGAATCCCATAATCTGGGCCAGATGTTAATTTATCTTTTCTGTAATCGCCCCACAGAAGGGTGAGGCTGGAAGCAGTGAAGGGGGAAATCCCTTATTGTGTAATTCTTTTGAAACTCCTGGGCAGGGTTTGAACATGTGATTCTACTTGAAATCTGACATTA